TCAATGACGATATTCTATTCTATGAGTTATGTGACTTGGTGACCGAATGTTGTTCGGAGTCTTGGATGAGATCACGGGCATGACTAGGAGTCTCCAAATGGTCTAGAGGTAAAGATTGATATACAGGACAATAGTATTTGTACACCGAAAGTGTTCCGGAGTGTATCGGGTATTTATCAGAGTACCAGAGGGGTTACGGGAACCCCCAGGGGGAATATATGGGCCATGAGAGGGGAGAACACTAGCCCACAAGGGGTGGCGCCCCCCCTATGATAGTAGGCCGAGTTGGGAGAAGGAAAAAGGGAGTTCGCCCCCCTTCCTTTCTCTCTTCCCCCTTCCCTTTCTTCTCCTATGAAAAAAGGAAAGGGGGGACGCCACTTGGGGCGCCCCCTGGCTGCCTCCCCTCCCCCTCCCACCTATATATATGTGGGAAGGGGGTGTCTAGAATATACAACATCAATTGTTAGCCATGTGCGGCGCGCCCCTCCACAGTTTACACCCCCGGTCATATTTTCGCGGTGCTTAGGCGAAGCCCTGCGAGGATCACTTCACCATCACCGTCACCACACCATCGTGCTGACGGAACTCATCTACTTCCTCGACATCTTGCTGGATCAAGAAGACGAGGGACGTCACCGAGTTGAACGTGTGCAGAACTCGGAGGTGTCGTACGTTCGGTACTTCGGTCGGAGCTAGAAGAAGTTTGACTATATCAACCGCGTTTTCAAACGCTTCCGCTTACGATTTACGAGGGTACGTAGACACTCCCCCCCCCCTCGTTGTTATGTATCTCCATGGATAGATCATTGCGTGTGCGTAGAGTTTTTTTGTTTTCCATGCAATGTTTCCCAACAGGGTGTTCAATACCCCTGACTATGCACAGACAGCGACAGCCTCCTCGCCAGGAAGGGCTTGGCAGAAGGCAAGATTATTCCAAGTACTCAAGACTTGGTAATCAAAACCATGAAGAAGACCTCGAGGCAGGTCATTGAGAAGTACTAAGTACTGGAGCTCAAGACTTAGGCTGCCGGCAAGTTCCAAGCCGAAAAGGCTCGGGCCGGCAAGCTCCCTCCATCGCTCCAGCTCAGCGGCCTGTCAGTGGTTTGCTGACAGATGGCAAGCGCGCGGGTAGTTAGGTGAAGCTTGTTGGGGGCACGTGGCACCATGCCGCCTGATGATCAAATTTATTGACATCCGTTCAGATGGCATGTCATTATAATAAAAGGTAGCTGGGCTAACGGCACAGGTGGAACTAGACCCCTTTGCCGGCATTCACCCCGAGCGTGACATCTAACGGCGCAATTAGTGTTTCTATCCTATACCGGTAGGGTTAGGTATGATAGCATTGTAGACACTATTCATTTCATGTATTTACTATTTTGCCACTATGGTAACCCCTTTCATCTATAAAAGGAGGTCCATGGCTACTTTTACAAGGCTCGACACCCTGCCCATTGCACTAGCTAGGTGCACCTCCTGAGCTCCTTGCCGACAAGGTTGTGCACTCTTGTAACTTGGGCATTTTCACTTATTGTTTCATCCAAAATAGGCGTAGGGTTTTACGCTTCACAATGATCCAAATCTGGGTAAACTGATCGTGCGCTTCGTGGTTGGTTCTGCTGTTTGTGTGTTGCGAGCCCATAGCCGAACGCAGAGGGGCTTTTTGGCCAATAGATTGTCGTACGCTGACATGTACTCCCTCCGTTCCACAATATGTCTTTCATTTGTCAAAATATAGATGTATCTAGACATGTTTTAGTATATAGGTACATTTATTTTTGAACAAATGAAAGTCAAGTATTTTGGAACGGAGGGAGTATAAGCGTATGTGTCCGTACTATGTTTAGAAAAAAAATCTCCGCATAAACTACGCCTTCAGTCTCATTCATGGGGCAGGCACGGACAGTACCGGTCGCACCGGTGCGACCGATTCGGTGCGCCTACCGGCCTACGATCTCGTGGAGTCAGACACAGTGACCGTGCTGTACCCTCGTAGGTGCTGCCGTTTTGAACGCCCCTGCAGCGTAGCTGTGGAAGCCGAGACGGTACCTGACCGGCCGAGGAGCGTTAAATATTTTCACTGTGTCCACTGCAGGAGCGTACGACCTTCCCTTCTCTTTGGGCTTTGCTAGCGGCCTGGGTGCGTGCGCAGCGGCGCTGGCTTCAGCTGGAAAGAGGGGTTTCGCCGAGAAGAGAGATCGGTGGCAGCGCCGGCGCAGTGCGTGCCATGAGACCCCCAATGGACTCATGTGTAGACTGTAGAGTAGGGTAGCAGCAGCGGCAGCTTGGCTGGTTCGCCTGAACGCGTCACATGTACTTGCAGCTGAGGTAGAGGAGCAGAGGGCCGGAGGAGGCGTTGCTGCCACCACACGACGATCTCGGATTTCTGCAGGCCAAGTGTCCCCACTTAACATGTGTGTCAGTGTGTGTGTGTGTGAATGTTTTGTAGGATCTTTTACGGGCGATTGGTTTCATACTACCTCCGACCAAACATGTTTGTCCGGCACGCTCAGATCGTGGTCGGCATACACCAGCCCAAGAGATCATCGTTTTCTCTCCGAGAATTTACACCCTTCCGTATGTAATTTCTACATACAGGTTACCGTATTCCATGGCGTACCGCCGTACGACGCCTCGCGACAGTTGAAACGCGGGCCGGAGCGCGAGTGTTTGCACTGCAGCCGCGCTGGGATTCATCGTACGTACGCCGTGGAGCACGGGCAGATCGGGCGTCTAGCGGGCGGCGTCGCCATCGGGGCGATCCCATGACACGGCGGCGACAGGCAGGAGGAGAAGATCCCGTGGCCGGACGCCGGCGCTGGAGCCCATCGTATCTGGCGGGGATCGATGCGGGCATGACGCCCTGCTGTCTCCTTACAGGCGCCGATGGCGACGGCACGGCGCCGGAATAAAGGAGCAGGATTTGGCCGTGTCACTCAACCGTGAACGAGCCAGCCGGAGTGCCCTTGCAAGTTTTTTCTTTTCCTTTTTGATTGAAGAAAGTGCACTCCCAAGTTGCATCGTAGTAGGGCCTCCTTTTGGAAGGCGACTAGGGTCTAGCTAGGGTGGTGTTGCAAAACTTAACTTCACACAAGACGTAGGAGTGCCTCTCGTTGGCAGTTAGTATCAGTTATCCCGTTGGATTTGATTTGACAGCCACATAGTGGCACGTTCATTGCTAGCAATTCTGATCCTGGTCTCCGTCACACAAAACATTTGAACTGTTTCAGTACGAATCCCCCCATAAAACACTTCAAATCCTGGATCAACCAGCAGGCATATCTAAAGCGTCCCAAACACAACCTAAAGCAACCCGCATTTCCGGCCAGCGAAACGGAGCAGGCGGCCCATGGCACCATGATTGGAAATGATGAAGCCGGGCGAGCGATTCCCATATACTCTCGCAAGTCCCCACACACACGTACGGCGAGGCGGTGGCCCGAGAGAAGAGGGCCATGGTTTTCTGCACTCGAAAAGGCCTGTGACCAAGGACGACCTATCCCGGTCAGGCAGGGTGGCCGGCCAATGGCCAAAGCCCTGCACGCCATGGCATCCAAGAGAGCATGCACGGTGCAGCGGCGCAGGACCATGAGAGGCACGCAATTGGGCACCGGAGCAAAAGCAGAGCGCGGCGTTGTTCTTTTCCACCATGAGTGCAAGCAACGCTATGCCGCAAGCCGTGGCAAGTCAACAGAACAGTCCAGTGCAATTGGCGCACCGAACCAACGGCATGCTCCATCCGTATTGGGCCACGCACGACTTGCTGCCGCTCTGGGCATTGCTGCCGAGTGACTGGGCCCGTTTTCAGAGGGTTTTGGCTGTTTGCCGAGCCTCAGACCTTCTGTGGAGAATTTAACAGCGCATGGGCAAAGATACAAAGTCCATCGAGACCCGTGAGCTGAGTGAGGTGATATTTTCCCTTCTCCATCCGAGATCAACTTCAAGGGAAGCAAGTCAAGTCTGAATCTCATTTGATGCTCAGGGCAGAAAATGAACCAACCTTTTTAGCGTAGCTCCGATACATGTTAGCTCGAACAAGCTCAAATTCTAGTATAGATTCAGTCGTGCATGACACATATTTTTTTTAAAAAAATACTTTACAAAAATAAATACTCCTTTTTTTAGACACAAATGAAAACTCTCCTGGCATGGTGTCAAGGCTTTCTAAGCTTAACCACCCTTAACGTGAAGCACGGCATCTGAAAAAAAAAGATGGCCCATCAATTCTTGCTCCCTTTTGCACAAACGAGCAAAGCCCACAATTGAGCATTTTTAGCGTGAAGCTCTCATTTGATGAACTAGGTTCCCCTCATTTTTTTAAATGAACTAGGTACATCGTACATGTCCACTGCACCTAGATTGCAAGCTCAACCTCAGCCAAAACTCAGCACCCTAATGCAAAAGGCTTTATCCTTGTAATACCTATGAAAACGTCCAAGTAAAATTTGACATGGACAAAACCTGACAGTAAATAGTTCCTGGGTTGATGTTTTGATTTGAATTTGCAAGGCTACAAAAATCCAACATAATCTGGTTTCTCGAAAGAGTAAGCTAAAAATCCAACAAAATCCTCACCTGCTTAAGCTGTAGGAAGCTGAAGAAGCAAACAGGGAACAAACAAATCTAATGAACCATCACAAGCATGAAAACAGAAAACATTAGAACAATCTAATGAACGGGGCAACAATGTCTAGTGAGTACGCAAACTTATTTCAGAACCAAGACTTTGTACAACCAAAGTCAGAGATCTGCATATACTGGCAACAGAACACAATAGATTCACATGAAGACAACATGTTGCTGCTTACAACAAGGATTACAATAGTCCATTTCAAGGAGTTGAAAGTAGCAGAGGTAATCTAGCCTAGCTAACACGATCCATACCTAGAATGCAAACTCAATGGGCACCCAGAAAATAGAAACTTCCTTCAGAATGGCAGATAAGATGCTAACAAAATATGTACAAACAACGTATCAGAAAGGCGAGGCAGAAGTCCCTCTCAACTTTTGGCTAAGAACACATCGAGATGACTCGATCTACTACGCCCTGCCAGAGACTGTGAAGAATCATCGCGATTGATCCTTCTGTAGCTGTATTTACCACAAGATGAACTTTGTTCTCCAGAAGACAACAAATGCAGCTGCAACATTGTAATCATGCCAACAGCAAACACTGCACTGTTCCCTAGAAAACCACCAAAATTTTTCACATTGAAACTGTTCCTGACAGCATCAAGACTAGAAGAAACCATCCACCCTAAGAAATTTGAACCATCTCCTGTCTCCTTGGTACTGTTAGCGCCAGAATGACTTCTTGATTTCTCAGGCTTGTTTACTGACAGAAAAGACCAGAAATCATGGTAGACATTGTGGACGAAATCCAACGCCTCATCAATGACTTTGTGATTATTCCCATGGTGCTCTTTTAATCTTATGGTAAGCATGATGTGACTTTGTTGCAACCTTGCTAATGCAATATCTCGTTCTGCTTGTTGCTGTGAACAAACAGCCTGCAAGAACATTGAGTATAATACATAAGTACACAGTGCAGACATGAAATTCAAGCATTAATCGTGGTACTTTATTGATGCCTGAACATAAAGAGAATCTAAAGATTTGAGTTTCCAACTTATTAAATTCAGCCATTCAGTGTCTTTTTTAACTTGTCCAAACGTTCAGTGGTTGACTAACTTGGTGCTTTCCCTTTCGATAAAAGAACGCTACCTAGTACTTAGGTTCATTTCTGCAAAAGCTTGACAAATTAGCACAGGTTTTTTAGTTGTTTACTTGGTCCACTTCAGGATAATCAACCAGGAACTTGCATCTGTTGCAAGTCAGACACTCCATGAATATACATCATTGCATGCATTATGAAATTCCAGAACCAGCTTGGGAGCACTCTCAGGTTTCTGAAATAAGTAAAACAACCTATGCACAACTAAAAAATATCATCATTTCGGAGGGGAGACTTCTGAAATCTTATCTTCAATTTTCTATGGGTGATAGATGTGCCCAACCAGATTGTGATCTAGCGGTCTATTCGCATTTGCAGAACTACAACATGCAGAAACACACTACAATATTGCCCTGCTGAGAAGCAATAACGTATCCTATCACAAAGATATCGCCTTAGTTAATCATGGTGCAAACAAGAATATTCTAATTTAAGTTAAATCACGGTGCAGACAAGCACATCTTAATTTAACAAGGATATGAATGTCCATGTCCATGGTGCAGCGGCAGATACAAATATAACCGTTGGAAACTCAAATCTTCTAAACAATCGGTTCAGTGTGGTAAGAACACCGGCACCTATGTTCAACAGAAAACAAGGTTATCCAGTTCCGAGTCTGGAAAACCAAAACGAGACACATAATTTTCACAGATACTTACCATATTTATCAAAACGCAGGTCATTCTTGATCGAATGGGACACTGTCCTTCTAACAGAATAACAGTGCTCCTGCTCTTTCGAGGTTGGTTGGAAAACATATTCTCAAAACTATTAATATGCACAATGCATTTGTTTCCCATAATTCGAGACGAGTTGAACCTTCAGAGAAAACCTTGCTGTTAAAGACCCATCGTCCCCAATAACACGCACTAATTCTTATCTCACCAGATGCAAACATCGACATGGCCAAATCGTCCCAAGGCATACTAATGCTCGAAAGAACTATCTGAAGATTTAGTTCAGGGTGATTTCCCTCTTCCAAAACAGCATGGACACTACGAGATTAGTATATTCAGACCAATCACTTCAGATTGTAAATCATACCCCAAATTCTGACCATGCTTTCAAGCTTCAATAGCCAGTCGGTTGAATTTACCAACATCTCTACCCACAGCGAGCCTCTCCACAGTTTACAGAAACATCCTACCAACCAAACTAACCACTTCGACACTCGGTTCAAACCAATCAACATATAGCGAAGGCCACGCGCGGAACACAGTACAGATCAAACCACGCGAACAAGAGAGAGGGTCTGAGCAGGGGATAAGGAGAGGGGTTTGAGAGGCTCACGAGAAAGCACTCGAATTGGTCCTCGAGGTCCTCGAGCGCGGCGCGGATAGCGTGGAGGCTCCTCGCCTCCTCGGCCACCGCATTCAGGTCGGCCGCCTCGTCGCCGTCCGCGGGGACCCCCTTGATGTGGACGACGCCCGCGGGCTTGCCCCCGGCGCGGCGGCGCACGGCGCGCAGGAAATGGGCGCGCGAGAGGGCGTGTATGGCGTCGCTGACCTTGTCGTGGAGGTCCCAGATGGTCTCCAGCACGGCCTCCGCCTCCTCGGGCTCCATCCGAAACCCTAGCGCCGCCCCGGAAAATTCCAGACGGCGCTGGCCGCTTTGCTTGGGTTGTTGCGGGGTTTCCGAACTGCTTGGAGGGAGAGAGAGAGAGGGGCAGGTAAAATTTTGCTGAGCAATGATGATGGTGCTGACAGTGACTAAGACATGGGCCATCGGCCGTCTGCAACATTCATTAAATGGCGGCCCTCTTAAATTCTGGGCCTGATTTCCAAGCCCTCAGGGCTCTGTCTTGGATCTGGGCTCTAGCGGGCCGGGCTCGGAAAGGGAAAAACTCGAGAGCTTTCAGAATCCTTCCTTCTATGCCATCAACGGCCGCCGGGGCGCCGCTGGTTTTCTTTCTTCTCGCCCAAGCCGCCGCCGCCGACACACCAAACCGGCAGCTGCCTGGTCGCCGGGGCCGACCCTAGAATAAATTACGAAGCAGCGCCGCGGTCTCCAGGTAGTAGCAGCTCCCCCCAGAGCCACACATCTCTCCTACGTGCTGTTGGTTGGTTGGATTGGATCGGCATGGAGAAGGAAGCGACGACGCCGCGGCCGGTGTGCGCGCAGGAGGCGCTGGCGCTGCTCAACTGCGCCGCCGAGAACCCCTACGACCGCGACAAGTGCCTCGCCCTCCTCGACGCGCTCCGGGAGTGCATCGCCCAAAAGGTAATTATAGGCCCAAGTGCATCGCGTTTGGTGGACCGTTTGCTCATTCTTGCCGATACAACTATGATTGATACAAACTATGATTTGTGATCCTGTACTGAAGGTCTTACATCTTAATAATTCCTTGGAAGGAAGATATTACCCACCACTGAGTAATCTTATCTTTGTGCCTAGCTGTTTTTAGGATGGACAATTGTGGGACTCCATAGCTCCCAAACATGTGTATCTCACATCATTGCTTCCGTGTAATTTCGAGCAAAATGAGCACCATGTCACATAATTCCTTGTCCAGTTGGAACAATCTTGCATGCTAAAGGGATACATACTTTTGTTGGATGGTAGAGATATCAACTTGCCGATCAAAGCCTGGTTAAGTGTGAGAAGTTAGAAAGGCTTAGTTAAATCACTTGTTTGTACTCGGAGTTACAAGTCTGAAACTACTTGTCTGTACCACTTAGCCAGTAACAATTTATTAGTGCTCGAGGTAATTCCCCTTTGAAAAGCAAAGTGGAAATACCAAAGTCTTTTAATAGTTTGTCTCCTTTGAGGATTCTGTGATATTCGGTACCGGTAGTTAAATGACGCCGTATTATTAAAAAGCAACTTGTCTAAAATATGTTCGTCAGGTGGATATGTGTTATCTAGCAGAATGACTACTCCAAAAAGTTATCAACAACAACAACAACAACAAAGCCTTTAGTCCCAAACAAGTTGGGGTAGGCTAGAGCTGAAACTCATAAGATCTTTCTTTTGGGTTTCATCTCCATAAGAGTGGCTGAGTTTTGACGTTGGCTCGCCAAGCCTATCACAACCCTCCTCCTTTACCCGGGCTTGGGACTGGCTATGTCGAGAAAACATAGGCGGAGTTCCAAAAAGTTATCAAAACATGCAAAATAAATTGACAACACGAGATGCACCTATTATGTCATGACATTTTTAACACATTGAGAGAAAAAAAATCGATGCAATCAATAGTAGCTGAACAACCGGAACCGAATCCTCTGCAAACCTTTAAAGCCTCCTGTTTTTCTCGTCTCTCAGCTCCTCTTGTCCACTGTCTTGGTCCCACAGTTAGTCGAACCCTAGGTCGCCTCCTGTTTCTCAATGTATGGGCAATTTTGATATGAAAATTTGTCACATTATCCATCTGCCTACATTGCATGGAATGCACCTTTCGATTTTATACTGGTTGCTCCCTATTGTTGCAGTGTCGTTTTCTATTTTTCCCCTGTGGCCATGAGAAGTTACTACATCACAATGTGGCTACACTCTGCAGAAATTGGGTGCTAACAGAAATAATAATATTAGTCACGATCAGTTTGTTTCATAAAGAAGATGCAACTGGTCTTTGTGTGGATGTATTTTTGCTGTTATTATCCAACTAAATTTGTCTTTTCTTGTCTCATGTTTTCCTCCAGGTAAGTCATCGCGAAGTATATTTCTGTCTTATAAGATGTATTGTCTTGTTCAAATTTCTCTAAATCCCCCTCATTTTGTTGAAATGCAGAAAGTGAAGAAATTTTCGTTGGCTGAAGCAGGCTCCACCAGCACCACGGAAGCTCCAAAAAGCAAATAGAAGCCCGCAATATTTCAGTGCCACTTACATAACATGTTCTAGGCCGGCCATACTGGTTTAGTGTTGGATCTGTCCTTTGTA